GAGCGGCCGGGTCACCGGCTCGGCTCCTCAGCGAAAACCTGAATATGCACTGCATCTGCTGCCTACTTATACTCACGCTGTGATCAGCGGCAGCTGGATGCAATAATTGCATGCCAATGTGTATTGGCTCGTTTAGTTTACACTTGAAGTAGATTGGTCTCTCTAAGCGAGATCCCAATTCGTCGGTCATCCGACGTGACGTCTCCGTTCCCTCCTTCAGGGAACGAGGGTTACCATACGTAACCGAGACGTTCTCACTACTTTATACTGGCAGTAAACGTTCAATTCACTAACACTTAACACTTGCTGATTTGTTTTTTTCATGTCCAGTGAGACCAGATATGTGTAAATAATGTTGATTGATTTGATTTAATGTTGGTTTTAAAATCAGATATGAACACTTGTCATCATATCAGCTTGAATTTTCTCAATGTGTCAATCATCTGCCATTTTCGCCTCAAATCCTGCTACTTTCTCTTTCTGTTAAAGGTCTTTCCTTGCTGCTGAATGGCTTTACTCTCTAGAGCTTTGGACTGTGATTGTCCAGTGGATAGACAGTCCAGACTTGTATTCTTCTGTGAAGAGCCTTCTTGTTGGAAACACCTCAAGATTTTGACAACATAGTTAATGGTCTTTTAAGAAGACCTCACTTTCAAGATGAATGAGGAAAAGGCAGTGGCAAGGTAGTTTCACTTCCATTATTGAAATGATCTATGTGCTCTGAATCAAAGGTCAAAGCATTTGTCAAGAGTACTTGAACACTGAGTTATAATAGTGAGTTTACGGGCACTTCAGTTCCTGTTTAGGAGCTTTCCTTCACTGCTGGCTTCTGTAAAATTCATTTAAGAGCATAAATAAAAGGGCATTAAAAAGGGTCTTAAAAGGACCATGGTGGCATATTTATTACATTATGCAACATAAATTATATGCTCAAACTCAGCATGAAATCAAAATTGAGTTGCTTAGAACTGAAATATATGTGCTACTAACGCCACTAAATAGAATGTGTCAGTCTTCCATTGTTTGGACAAAGAGATATCCCAAGTTCACACTGTTACATCATGAAAAAAATATATCTGAAGGTACCTTTATTCCATAGTCATGGGGAAGTAAATAAACAAATTGATTTAATTAAATCTCAAATTAAATAAAAATCAATTTAGCTGAATTGGTACATTCATGGGTACATTTCCTAATTAAATACTGGATCCGTTTTAAATTAATAGCCAGTTAGACTGTGAAGACACAATCTTCATTTAATAAAACCAGAGCAGAGCAACCTGACGTATCACACTGCTTTATTCTCAATAACAAGAAAAGCACTTAGCACCTCCTGTCTATGCCCAAACAGAAAAATCCTTTCCAGCAATCCTCGAATGTGCAATCACTTTTCATCAGCTTTTTTTTTTTAAACAGAAACAAGTATCATAAGAGACTAGGTTTGTTTATAATACTTAAAAACCCTCAAGTGCTTGCTGATGCTGATAGAACATGAGCCTCTGGTATGTACATGTGTATAGATTAAAGAGTCTACTAAGCATTAGCAGACATAATATGCTGGGGGGAAAATTATAAAAAAATGCATCAGTGTGATATTTAGCTTGAGTATCAAAAACATCCTTCTAAAAAAACGATGTGTGCGTCACAACAATAAAGAGACAGAGGAGTGCTGTAACACATTTTGTTTGTCTGAGTTTCATGCTATATCTCAAACTTTATACTGTATCTTAAAAGTAATGGTCCTTTATTGGCATTGATGGTTCCATGAAGAATCTTTAAAGGAGACATATTATGCCCCTTTTTACAATATGTAATAGAATGTTCACTGAAAGGTTCTTTGTGGAATTTTTTTTTTTTCTTTTTTTTTCTATGGTGTGAAACCACCCTTCACTCTTACAAATAAAGGTTCCAAAAGGGGGGTTTCATAGAGATGCAGCAGAAGAACCATTTTGGGTTCCCCAAAGAACCTTGCAATCAACAGTTCTTAAAATAACATTTTTTTCTTATTGTGAGGATTATTTTAATAATCTAACCTTTTCTCACTTTAAACAACCTTTTGCGCAATGGAAAGGTTCCATGGATGTTAAAGGCTCTTCATGGAACTGTCAATGCCAATAAAGAATCTTTATTTTTACGAGTGTTGTGAAACCTTTATTTTTAAGAGTGTAACATTAACATAATTTTGATACAATTTAAATGAATATATAAATAAACAAGAATTTATTGTCTAATCAAGTTTACTAAAGAATGATTTCACAACTATAGCTCATTTCTAAATAGGCAGTCGTGGCCTAATGTTTAGAGAGTCGGACTTGTAACCCAAAGGTTACGGGTTACTTGCTGCCCACTGCTCTGTCTGTCTCTCTGTGTGTGTGTGTGTGTGTGTGTGTGTGTGTGTTTGTATTTGGATGGGTTAAATGCAGAGCACAAATTCTGAGTATGGGACACCATACTACACGTCACGTCACATTCACTTTCATTTTCATTAAACTGATGATCTTACAACTCACTACACCAGGATGGATGGGCATCTTTAAATAAGACAGCTTTATAATGATAATTTTTAGATATTTTTAAATGTATTAATTTATTTTATATACTGTATATACTTTAAGCAACCTGAGCTTCCAGCCCAAAAGATAAAGCTTGAAGTTCAAAACCCCAAAGGCACCACCTGCAAAAGGTATTTACACCCAGACATGCTGTAAACCATATTCCCCAATCCACTGACTTTACTGTCATATAGAAAAACAGCCCTTGTGTTCAGTTAGAAAGCAACACCTTTTAAATCTGAACTAAATATTAATGGCCACTCTGACGTATAGATCAATGGCTGACTGAATTAACTATTCAATCACATAACAGTTTACTACAGCCATATGTGAAAGTGAAAACTGCAAAATCAATACAGCACATTTTTTTCCCAACATGATCCAGTCTCTCAGTGGGCTTCACTATAGCAGGTTCTCGGACTTCAGAACCCAAAAGGATACTAGCTCCTCGGATGTGTCAAACCAAATCAGGGTCTGTCAGTGACCCCCTCGTGATGTCACATGCATGGGAGACTGGCTGCAGGTGCATTGACCCTATTCTCAGTCTGGAGGAATGATGTCCAACATGGACACAGAGTTGTCAGTCTTAATTTCTGCTGTACAGTGGACAAGTCCGGAGAGTTGCCTTGACATTCGAGTGAAGGAAGTTGCCAGAGCAGTTTAGTACTGACTGATGCTTATTTGACTGAGGAGTGGTATTAAATGAGCAACAACATGGAACATTTATGATTAGATAGGTAGCTGGCATGAAATGTCGTGCAGTGACAGCAGTGCCCTGCAGTTTCTGAAATAGCATTTTTCTAATATTTGTACAATTATAAATGCCATTTTATGTGAATATTCATTTAGAGACTATTTGGAATTTTTGTATTTTTCAATGATTAGTAAAGTGCAAAACCTAAAAGGTGTTTAAAATGGTGGAAATGATTCAAAACAACAACAAAAACAGTTATATCATCTTAAATTATCCGCCTACACTTTCCATACATAAACAAACAATGTGTGGTGTTCGTGCAGCTTGCTTAATATATATATTTAATAAAAATACATAAATTACAAATTCACCTTTGGATATATTTTAGCTTAAATCTGTGTATATTGGTAAATAAATAAATGATACATACATATATACATATAAAATGTTATTTTATGTTACTATATTTTATTACACTTAAGGATGAAATATTTTGATGAACTCCTAGTGGTTCAAACACTGATACTAAATGATTAAACGGGTTGTAGATTCAAACCCCAATATGAGTTGCTTCATAAACCATCACCACTGTGTTCAAGACACTTTGGTTGCTCCAGGAGGATTGTCCCTGTAACAAAGTCACTTTGTATTAAAGCATCACCAAAATGGCTTAGTAAGAAGAAGCCAACCTACTCACCTGTCCACACTGATCACGCACAGCGTCATGATGGATGCAGTGCAGCACATCACATCCATGGCGATGAAGATGTTACAGAAGACCTCTCCAAAAAGCCACTTTCCTCCCGTGAGGTCCGTCACGATCACGAATGGCATAACCACAATAGCCACGGAGAGATCCGCCACGGCCAGAGACACCAGCAGATAGTTAGACGGCTGTCGGAGCTTTTTAACGACGCACACCGCGATCACCACCAGCATATTTCCAATCACCGTCACGGTGGTGATGATGGTCAGCATCATTCCGATGACAATCTTCTCCGCTGTGGTGAAATCGAGTAATTGTTCCTCGCAGGATTTGTTCCACGTGGCCATTGAGATGTTGTAGAATAAGTGTGAGGAACCATTGAGAACTTCCGACGCGACCTCAGGGTGAGTGAACGAGAAGAAATCTAGCGAGCCCGATGAGTTGAACATCATCCCTGCGCCTGATGATGAAGAGCTCGCCAAGAGTGCGCTCCGTGCGCCAAACGCATGCTGAAGCGAGCGCAGGTCTGGGGTGTCTTCCAGGTTTCCAAAAGAACAAAAGGCAAGTTGTACGGATACAGCAACGAAAACTTAAATACACGGGAAGAAGGAGGGCAATCACTGTGGTTTGGCTGTATATTGCGCGCGCTTGGAGAGGCTGTACAGTCCTTGACTTGATGGAAGTGACAGTTCGGTTCTTCATGCGAGGAGGTGTGTGAGAATTGCGCACTCTAGTAGGTTAAACGCGTAACTTTCTCATCAAAGGGAAGCGGTCTCAGCTCCACCTACATTAAGATATTTTTCTGTCTTCTATTTTGCAGGAAGCACAAGAGTACCGCACTTGACTGCTTTGAAACATTCGCTCTCTAAAAGATCTATCTCACTTCAGTTCTCAGGCATTTCACTTGTCAGTTACTGTTTTCTTTATTATTGTTGTAGTTTTGTGCCTTATTGCATAACTACAAGGGAAAACATTGCATATTGCATTTTACTATTTTATTTTTGGACAACTTATATTTGGACAGTGGAAAGAGGCGAATAATAAATAATAATATCGCCCATACAATCTTTCAGATATCACTAAAAGGTGTTTTGAAAGAGCACATCTGTCTCAGTGAGGGCTGTTTATAGAAAGCCCTGTTTATAGCGAACAAAGACAATCAATTTCAATAAAGCTGCGATTTCCGAAGAGCAACTGCAAACCCTTTGTATCTATGTGGGCGTGTTCAATTAATATTTATTAATTTATGCAAATACGAAATGACATCATGCAGCAACATCCAATGGGAGTGCAGACAGTGGAGGTCGCATGATTAGGCTTGTAAAACAATAATAATAATAATTGTAGTACTAATCATTATTATCATCGTCATCATCATGATAATAATAATAATAATAATAATAATAATAAAAGGAAAAATACATTTTGCGTGTTTGAGTTTGCTGACATGTCTCTTGGAGCTGGGTTTTAGAGATTGAGGGGGTGTTCTAATTCAGTGGCTGAAATAGCTTACAGCACCATTTTATTGTAGCCTTGTGGTTAAAGATCTAGGTTGATGAACAAAAAGGATGTAGGTTCAAACCCTGCAAGGGGTGATTCATGACCACTGACAGAAAGGCCCTTAAACCCAGGTTTCTTCAGGGGAAATTGTCTATGATATAAGTGTACTGTAAGTCGCTTTGGATAAACCGCCAGCTGAAAATGCTTATAATTTTAGACTTGCCAGAGCACCATGCAGAGCTCTAAGAGAACAAAAGCCCTGAAAATTTGAACAATCAAAACCTATCTCTTGAATGTTGACAGCTACGGAGACAAAAATAAAAGACATCCTGTACTGTATGTGAATGGTGAGCACTCAACCTCATGGAATTAAGTGGCATGGAAAATTAATCTGTAATGAAGCAGAGGATTGCACAGAACAGCATGTTCCCAAGCTAATGTGGCTAAAGCCACTATCATCACCATCATCTTCTTCGTCATTGTCCAACAGATGGGGCATGTCACCCCCAGGGCCTTATTTTAGAATCTGAATGCATGATTTCTGTGATCATTTCTTTGGTTATAAAGTTATAACTTGTTTTATGAATTAAAGCTACAGGGTTAGATTTTTAGACTGAAATTAAAGGAATGGTTCACCCAAAAATGAAAAATTGCTGAAAATGTATTCACCCTCAGGGGTGAGTAGCCAAACCTAGATGAGTTTATTTTTCATCAGAACAGATTTGGAGAAATGAGTCATAGATCACCTGCTCACCTATGGATCCTCTGTGGTGAATGGGTGCCGTCAGAATGAGAGTCCAACCACCTGATAAGCATCACAAGAATCCACAAATAAACCCCACAACTCCAGTTCAATTAATTAATATGTGAATCACAAAGCTGCTTGTTTGTAAGAAACAAATCCATCATTAGGGCATTTGAACACTCCACATGTTGCATCTCTCCTTTGTCTGACACACCCATTTCAGATCTCGGAGTCTCTACTAATGAGCGGATAATCTGAATCATGTGTGTTTGATTAAGGAGACATGGAAAACTTGCAGTGTTTGGGGGGGCTCCAGGAATGCGGTTGGGAACCCCTGCTTTAAAAAATAGCTTCTGGCCAAATTACCAGCCCACTACCATAATACAGCTTTCTCCTGTTTGTCCTCTTACATCAAATTTCATGGACATGTTTGTTTATAAATGTTTTCGCTTGTAAAGGGCTTGGTCTGCACATATTTCTCACCTGATTCAGCAATGGATAGAGGATTTGTATTTTAACTGGAAGCAATGGTTTAAAGTTAAAAATGACTTGATGAATTTGTTTCTAATAAACAGCTTTTCACTTCACAGAACGTTAACTGATGGACTGGAGTTGTGTGGATTACTTGTGGGTTATTGTAGTTGTTTTTGTCTTAGCTGCTTAGACTCCCATTTTGATGGCACCCATTCACTTCAGTGGATCCATTGGTGAGCAAGTGTTGTAATGCGAAATGTCCAAGAATCTGTTCTGATGAAGAAAAAACTCGTCTACATCTTGGCTGGCTTGAAAGTGATTACATTTTCATTTTGGGGTGAACTATTCCTTTTAAGGGATAGAACAAATAAATAAAAATGAAAATTCTGTCATCATTTACTCACCCTCATGTCATCCCAAAACTGTGTGATTTTAGATATTCTTAAAGAATGTTGGTAACCAAACAGCTTCGTTTCCCATTGACTTCCAGTGTGGAAAAAAACAAAACAATGGAAGTCAATTGGAACTGAAATGCTTTCATTTTTGGGTGGACTATCCTTTTAAAATCATTTCATGCTTGCTAGAAAGGTCAGTATGCCAGTTACCATGTCACCATGCCAGTAAAGTAGCTGTATCCTATGCCCCAAAATATGTTGGCTTCTCTTTTGATGTTCAAGGTCAAAGCACCTGGGTCAAGTGCTGCTAGAAAGATGAAAGCCAAACAGCTGCTTTGACCCAGCATGCTCACTGCTTCCCTCAAGCCTTATTGGTCAATATTCAGAGTAGCCTGATGTGCAGAGTGCTGATGATGAGTGTCAGCTTAAATTAAAAGTCATTGCAGTGATTTGCTTCTGATGAGCGACACTGACTATTGCTGAAATTTCCCTGTTTATATTGAAATGCTACACAGTTATGAGCTTCCATAATGGTAAGTCAGTATACAGCTGGGAAATATGTTTGTTTTCTTACAAATCTCATCTGTATTATGTGTAGGTCTATAATATAATAACAGTTCTATGATAAAGATATTAATTACACATTTTTTTTCAAGAAGAGAATGAGATCAAGGCATGACATGAGGCCTGAGTTGAACCTGCATCTCATAGGAGCCAAATTTGAATTAAATTGTTATGATTGACATTTAATTTAGAAAGCTAAATCTCTGAACTATTTAAAGGTGCTCAAAGTAGTTCATTCCTCATTAAAAAAGTTTTATGTAAAAGTAAATGAATAGAAGTTTTGAAAAATGAAACATGTTTAAAATGAGAGCGCGAGTTTGCGGTGTGATACGAGAGACACCCATGAGCCTTCATATACACATCAATGCCAAGTACGATCACGAAAACAGGAAATATCAGATCACTGATTGCGCATTTTACCAGTCAAATAAAAAAAAAAAAGATTTTTCTATGTGGGTTTTTACAAGAAAATACTATTTCAGTCTTTCTACTTCAAAATGTTACAGTTTAATTTGATGTATTACTTGTTGTTTCTTTGTAATTATTTGATACATTTATTCATTTCAGAGTGAAAATTTTTCAAAGTAAATTTTACACAATATTTAAAAAATATATATATTTTTTCTGTCTTCTGTCTTTGCTTTACAACTCAGCATAGTCACTGGTGAAGGGACATGTGTGCTTGATATACGTTTTTTATACGTTTTTTTTATCTCAACAGTTTTGAGCCTTTTATAGTTTGTTGGTTTAATATACCATAGAGACATTATCCTGAATTTCCCTTTTTGTACGTCACCTTAATCTTCAACCTGAGAATGTGGGATAATAGTCAAATTAAAAAAAAAAAGATTTTTCTATGTGGGTTTTTACAAGAAAATACTATTTCAGTCTTTCTACTTCAGAATGTTACAGTTTAATTTGATGTATTACTTGTTGTTTCTTCGTAATTATTTGATAAATTTATTCATTTCAGAGTGAAAATTTTTCAAAGTAAATTTTACACAATATTTAAAAAATATGTATATTTTTTCTGTCTTCTGTCTTTGCTTTACAACTCAGCATAGTCACTGGTGAAGGGACATGTGTGCTTGATATACGTTTTTTATACGTTTTTTTTATCTCAACAGTTTTGAGCCTTTTATAGTTTGTTGGTTTAATATACCATAGAGACATTATCCTGAATTTCCCTTTTTGTACGTCACCTTAATCTTCAACCTGAGAATGTGGGATAATGTGGCAGAGCTAAGTTTCCTTCCAGTAGTTTTGTTCGCTCTTTTAATAATGAACTGAGATGTCTGTTGAGCTCATAGACATGTTTGTGGCGGCATAATAAAACAGTGTTTACTCTATGAAGCTTGTGTCTTCACAATCATACAGCTGGGAAAATAAAGAAGAAATGTGTCACACAATCCTCTAAAGGAAGGGGACAAAAAGACTTTTTGGCAGGAGGCAGGAGATGTTTGACTTGATGGGCTTTCTTTTAATAACAGCAACACTGGTGGCTATACAAACTTGCTATGCAAATGTATAATTGAAATTTCCTGACTGCATAATGAATTGAAAATTTTAAAAAAATTACATTTTACAATTACAAATGTGGAAGCAATAAGCTGTTTGTTATAAGTATGACAATAACTTTCTATTTAGTATAAAAAATTGAGTTCATTTGTTGAGCTTTTCAGAATCTTTATTTTTCTAGTTACCACTACACAGAGCATAATGTTAGAATAAGAAACAAAACCTGAAGAATATTTCTGAGATACTGAGTCTATAAGTTTAACAATAGCAGGGCAATATAAATGGAAAACAGCACCAGATAAGTCAAGAGTTGTAGTTTATCTGTTAGTTATCTCTCTCCTGAATGGTGAAACAAATAGAATACAGTATCTCTAGAGAATTCCACATATAAGACTGCAGCATCATCTGTTTTGTGAAAATATTTCTTGCCTTGACATGGTGAACCTTGTTCGGTAGTGGCAAGAAAATGAATTCTCATGCAGCAAAGGTTTGGGGGGAAAAGGGGTGAACACTTAAACTAAAGTGTTCACTATTCAAAATAGACAATTACGTATGCTATTTTTCTTTTCAACTGACGTTTTCTGTTGACTTTTGAAACATTTCATGCAAATCCAGGTTTGTAGTTATTAGTTAAAA